TATGGTATATATGTCGAGGTCTTGATAGAGCTATATGACCATGCGTATCCCAGCTATCTCTGCCATGCCTTCACATGGCAAGTGCTTTATGACAGAATTCCTCTAAATACAATTTATGGAAGAAAGGGATATTAGATCATCCTCGCTAGCTTGGCTGTGTGTGAACTTAATTTGTGGGACTTGTATTGAATCATCTTTTCCTCCGCTGTTCAGTGGCTAGAATTCTATCGACATGTTAAAGACAGTGGGGTCTAGTTGGCGCTATTGCAGAATCATGCTGAGCTAACTTTCGTTTAACATGAAGGGTTGTTCAAGTTAAGAAGGGCAATGAATGGATTGGACGTATTATTGTTTTTGATCGTAATATGTGGATTAAAAGGCTTAAGAAGTTGATGTGGAAAGGCTATTTAATTAACCTCATCCTGACTCGCTAGTTCTTTCTACTGGATTAAAGGAAGGCTGGATGGTTGTGATTTCTGCTTATCTTGTTGGCCACAAGAACCTATTTCTAGTTTAAAAACTGGTTTGCAAGTCATGTAAAGTTCCTCTTGCTTTTAGCAGGCCAAAATAATGGCAACTTAAAAACCATTGTTTATCTGTTACATTTGGGTTAGACTATCATTTATATTTTCTTAAAAAATAGTTTTTTGATCTTTAAAAAAAAAAAAGAAAAAATGTTAAAACCTTATTTTAGTGTCTTTATTTTAATAAAATATTTTTTTTTAGTTCATTTATTTAAAAAAAACCCCTTTTAAATCATAAAATTTATTATTTGACATCTTTTTAGTCCTTTCATTATCTTTTTGAATACCTAATACATTAAATAATAAAAATTTCAAAGTAAAAAAACTAAAAATAGACTTTTTTATTTTTTAACTAGAAAAACCAAAAATGAGCTTTCTTTTTTTGTAGTAAGCATAATAAAAGTAAAAAAAATGTTATAGTTATGATATCACGTTATATCGTAAATTGATAAAATAATGTGTTATTATAAAATTGATTATTTTTATTTAGAAATCCACTTGTAACATTAATTGTATTTATTCATTTAAAAATATATCATATTTATTTAATATCACATCATAATTTTTTTTTTTTTACCAACAATGTTATTAATACGAGTACAAGGGTATTCAAACCCATGTCCAAAAAGAAAATGTTAAAGTTGATTACTCATTTAATATCACATCATAATTTTTAACTTATAATCATATATAATATTGTAATTATAGCATTTTAATATGAAAACTAAATAAGGACAGACGGAGTGCATAAAAGTAGCTAGTTGGCATTTATACATATATAGGTAGATGCATGCTCAAATGAGACATAACATTGAAGTAGTAGTAGGCATTTATTATTCCATATGGTAACTAAGAAAGGCATGTCCCTTCTTTAATTTTCCTTTTTAAGATAACCTATATCTTAATTTCATGCCTTGAGAAGATGAGTTGCAATGTCTTTAGTACTTGGCATAGGCTGACATATGATTTTCTAGTGTTTGAATTCCTTGAGGACATCCCCTTCCAACCCAATCAGAGTCACAGTTTTAGTTGCATCATCAAACTCAACTCTTTCTTTGAAGGTCTCAGTTTTGCCACCAATATATCAATCACAAAACAAACATATACAACAAGATTTATTAACAAATTTAAAAGAAAATTTTGTTTAATCCGAAGTACCTACTAAATCTATTTGCATAACCTATGGAATATGTCCAGGTCTTGATAGAGCCATGACCATGAGTTTTCCAGCTGTCTCCCATATGCAATTGGCAGTTCTGAAACCGTTGGGTCGAAATGTTGGGAGGGTGGTGTGGCCGGATTTTGAAGACGTCGCAGAATTTATCAGCAGGAGCATTGATTGGCACATAAGCCTCTAGCTTATAATGCACAGCCATTTGTTCGGTATAGCAGGAGCAATGTATTATTATTTCACTGGTGGTAATAAAGATGTTTGTGACTTTGCAAAACTGTGCCTTCCCTTGTAATGTGGAAATTCATGCAAGTTTTTTATTTTTTAAAAATAGAAAATAAAATAGAAAGGTAATAGAAGGCTAATGATCTCCACAGAAGACCCTCATAACTATATGGACCTAGAACTAGAAGTCATCAATAGCAATCAACCAACACGAAAGCTACACTGCGTTTAAGGGAAAGCATCTGAGTCAAGCTTTGCAGGACATGTCAACCCAGACTATTAGCCAGTCATCATCAATACCAGTAAATGTCCAGCAGATTTAAAGATAATCCAAAGTTGATCACAAGTGAGTGTAAACTGTGGGAATTTTCACATTGGGATAATAGGATGTGTATAAGATGAATATACATGTAGAGACCCATAAAGGCTAGTGATTTTTGTTTAATATGGCATTTGCTACCACCTACATGGTTTCTCCAACAAGTGGCATCAGAGCTAAGTATAAAAATTCTCAACGAAAGACGTGGTAGTAAAGCCTCACACTTGGTGCCATTCTACAACACAGTTTCAAGCGTCCTAGACCACAAAGAAAATACATGAGCAGACCCCCCGTCAACTGAAAACATTCACTCGGTGAAAATGAAAGACGCTCCATGCTGACCAGCTCCAATCAAGTCTCCCACCTTCATTATTGAGGTCCAGCCAATCCAAATTCTAAACCTCATTTCAATTTATCCTCCAAATTATTCTTATCTTCTATTCGATATGAGATTTCTTACCACATTCCATCACCACCGAGTACCATAAGGCCTTCATAATTGATAGAAGATCAATTTGGAAGACAACTTTTAATGTAATTAACAAACCCTATACAAAAGCATCATCAGAGAGCTAGTTTTTTACTCCATCTATTCATTTTTAATAAACTTAGTTTGACTTTTTAATTTTGAAAATATAAATTTTACATTAAAATTTAACATATTATATAAATAATAATTGAATTTTTTTTTTTTTTGATCGAGTAAAAATAATCAACAAGAACTATATATAGAGAAAAAAATTTCAATTATTGTTTATATACTTTTTAAAATTTTCATCTAAATTTAGTGTCTTAAAAGCTAAAAAGTTAAATTACATCTACTAAAAATAAACAGAAGAAGTATTTGAGTGAGAATACATATAACAAGTTGTGATGCTAAGCAAGTGGGCTTGTGAGTTGGTATTTAAACATCAAGGTCAAAACGTGAGTTGTTTCAATTGGTATCAATACTATATATAAAGCTAAAAAAATGGTCACCAGAATAGGAAGACCGTAAACTTTGTCAGTCACTGACAACAGAATAAGCTTTGACATAATTAAATAATAAGCTAATGTTCCTAAACAGCATAAACTGGACAAATGATGAAGCTCCAGGAAATAACACCTTACATTTATAGGATTAGCCCCATGTTCTGTTTTATGTCCACAGTTGAGTATTCTCAACCTCCAACCTGCTTACTAATTCAGAAAATAATTGAAAGAAAAAAAAAGAAAAATAAAATAAAAAACTCACCGCTTTATTAAAAGGATGACAAGTGGAAGAGCTTGAAATGTGTAGAAGTAATCTAGAATTTATAAATTTAAGACAAGCTAAAGCTCATCTATCTATGTTACCCTACCCAAGTCACCAAGCTCGTTGGTTCTAATTTTCACATCCATCTTTCATGATGAGATAGATATCCCCAACCCTGTACTCTATGTTAGCTAGACTGAATATATACCGTAACTAGATTGAATACCATAGATTGCATTCAGGCAGTATGAATTTATGATCAATCTTAAGTTGTCAACAGAATTCAAGCAACTAATCACCACTAAGCAAGTAAAAATTGCATTGTAGATTCTTCTAGGAAATAGAAACTAATATGGAAATGAATGTAATCATTTTATTCATTGTTCCATAAATGAGAATTTGTTTTCCTATATACAAGAGGCAGAAAGCATTCAGGCCTCAATTAGCTCAACAAAATTAGGCCTTACTTGTATAACTACAACATTATACAACAATCAGATGACGAACTCCTCTTGTAGCCTGTGGGTAAAATAGACCACAAAGGAAAGGCAAAAGTATGGGATTAGGACCCAAACTTGCACAAAATTAGCAATTCTGGACCCAAACTTCAATTGCACTCAATTAAGTCTTAAACTACACATGTCTGCTCTCCCTATTTTTTACATGTCTTTATTCTTAATGCCAAATTGGGTGGTTGCTAAGTTGATTAGTCTTCAGAGGTCCTTTTTGTGGGGTGGGGTGGAATTAAAGAGGAAGATTCCATGGGTTAAGTGGGAATATGTGTGCACTAGTAAGAGGAAGGGAGGTCTTGGTGTGGCGGATTTGCGTCGAAAAAATTGGGCACTTTTAGGGAAGTGGTGGTATAGACTAGGTGATGGAGTAGTGGGATTGTGGAAACAAGTGGTGTGGGAGAAGTATTATGGGGGGAGGAAAGAAGTAGATATTACAGCAGTAGATACGGTCCAGGTGTCTAGGATTTGGAGGGACGTTATTAGTATTGGTTTGCGTTCTAGTAGTTTAAAGAAGATGTTGGTGAATGGCTTTAAGTGGGAGGTGGGGGATGGTAGTCGGGTACGTTTCTGGAGAGAGGTTTGGATAGGGGAGAAGCCTTTGAGAGAATTGTGTCCTCGATTATTTGAGTTGGCGGTAAAAAAGGACGGTTTAGTTAGTGAGATGGGGGTTTGGGAGGAAGGTGGTTGGAGATGGAATTTAGATTGGAGGAGGGGACGTTTGGGTAGAGAGCAGGATGAGGAGCTGGGGTTCTGGGAGTCTATAAATAGAGCCCAAATAAAGGCAGGTACTGATGATTGTTGGCATTGGGTGCATGGTACAGATGGGAAGTATGTGGTCAAAAATGCTTATGACTTACTAGCATCAACGGACTTGATACTGAGTGATCACTTTTGTAAGTTAATTTGGTGCAAATTAGTACCAGATAAAGTCAGTTTCTTCGGATGGCGATTATGTCTTGATCGTCTTCCAACAAAGTGGAACTTGCAAAAGAGAGGAGTGGTTCTAGAGGGGGGTTTGGGGTGTGGATTGTGTAATGAGGGGATAGAAGATGGAAATCATGTTTTCTGCACATGTCCAGAAGTGTGGCTGATATGGGTAAGGGTGCTGGCTTGGTGGGGAATGGCGTCTGTGTTGCCAAATATAGTGGGGGGGGTAGCAGAATTCTTCTTATTTGGGCTGGGTAGGGTGATAGGAAAGGAATTGGCATCTTGCATTTTCCTTGTTACTTCCTGGTATGTATGGTTTTGGAGAAATTGTAGAGTGTTTAAAGGAAATATGATTCGAAGAGATGATTTGGTGGAGATGATTCAGGCCAAGACTTTCTTCTGGATTAAAAATTACCTACAGGGATGTGTCTTCTCGCTGGTGGATTGGAAGATCAATCCGGTGGAGGCTGCGGCAGCTATAAGAAAGAACAATACCATGCTGAAGGAATACCGTAGGAATACAAATTGTAGGAAGGATTAGGGGCAGATCATGTGCTTTGAGTTTTTTCTCTTTGGAATTGTTTGCTGGATGAGTACTTTATGGTTTTAAATTCCTGCTGTGTGTAATTTTTGTTTTGTAGAAGGGTTGGAGTACCCCTTGTATTCCATATAATTTTAATACATTTAATTTGTTGATCAAAAAAAAAAAAAAGTCTTAAACTACACAAAATTCTCCAATAAGGTCCTAATTTGATGCAATATTTTTTTTTGAACAACCAAGAAATTTGTATTGATAACTTGAGTACAAGGGGTACTCAACCCATTTCCAAAAACAAATTACAGTCCCTTCAGTGTTACTACCCTCTTTCAAACATATTCTACTATGCTTTATCAAGGCAAGAAGTAGGGTTAATTAACCAGTCTGATAGATTGAAGTAACACTTGGGTTTCCTAGCTTTGATCCAAGCAAAAGACCTTAATTGAATAAGATCAAAAAGCTTAATCAAGTTTACCTCTGCATTGTCGAAAATCTTTTTGTTGCGCGCCATCCACACGGTCCATAACATTGCATTCCATATGCAGTCCCAGCCTTCCTTTTTGTATGTCTTTTTTGTCCACGCTCTCAAGTGTTGAAATGTTGGCCAGCATTCTTTTTGTAAGACTATTTTGACTCCCCACCACTTTGTACAGGCTTTCCACAGCCACTTAGCTACACTGCAGTTCAAGAACAAATGGCTTGAATCTTCCTCCTCTCCCATACACAAAGCACATTTTCTTTCTTCCACTTCTTTTATGATTCCCCATTTGAACAAGTTACTCCTAGTTGGGATTCTATCCATTAATACCCTCCAGTTGAATGCAGCTACTTTTGTTGGGATGGTTGGATTCCATACTCTCTTGAATATTTTCTCCTCATCATCTTCCTTCCTTTGTTTTGCTAGTACTGCATAAGCTGTTGTCGTCGAGTATTGTCCATCGACGCTGTGGATCCACTCCCATCTATCTGCACAACCTGGGGAGATTTTGACTTTTTCGATTGTCTTCTGCAGTTCCTTTTCAGCCTCCTCCTCCCACTGAAACAGGGCCCTTCTCCATGTCATGTTCCACTTCCAAGTACCGTTGTGATCCTCTCCCATTTGCTGACAATCTTTTTCCTTCCCTGTTGACAAGACATACAATCTAGGATATATGTTCGCTAGGCAGTTCTCTCCACACCATTCATCCCACCAAAAACTCACACCTTTCCCTTCACCTATCTTCATTCTAAATCCCTCCGTCAACCATCCCTCATTCCCATCCTCCCCCACATTGAGACTTTGAAGGTCTCTCCACCAAAGTGATCCTACTCTTCTTCCATCTCTCACCCAGTCCATCCACTGTCCCCCGTTACCTCCATATTTTCCCTTTATAACTTTCCCCCAAAGCCCTTCTTCCCCTAATTTGATGCAATATTAACTTGCCATCAAAAATGTTACAATTCCATTAATGTCCGTCACACTCGTGAGTTAACATTTGCTGGCAAGTTAATTTTCCACCTAATTGGGACTTTATTTGAGAATTTCATATAGTTTGAGACCTTAATTGAGCACAATGGAAGCTTGGGTCTAGAATTGCAAATTTTGTGCAAGTTCAGGTCCTTATCCCATATCTTTGCCAAAAAGAAATAGAAATGAAAGAATATGTTGCTTACTT